GGGGGGGTGGGGAGAGGGCTAGCTTAAAGGGAAAAAAAGCCTAGTAGGAGATTAATTAAAGGTCTAATAGAGAAAAATCTCTAGGAAAAAACTCAAACCCAATAAAGTAGGTAGAGATCTGTTTTCTGAGTGATGGGCATGCATATTTGTCATTACTGTTAATGAGAGCTGGGTACACACATGCGCAGCTGTCAGAGGATATGAAACCCTTAATGTAGGGCTCACTTTGATTTTATATTCATAAGAGTCTTTAGTTCAACTAAAGCTTTTCAAGACCTAGCATCAGTTATAATGAGGTTAAATACATCTCACAAGATCCTTCCCTTCTCGGTTATTTAGAGATGCAACGCAGTTAAATACACAACATAAAGAAATGTATTACCTGAAAGTTTACTCTTGGCAGCTTCACTTTCTTCTCCTTTCAAAGCACAAGGAAACTAGGTGGAGAACATGGTCTGTCAAGTTTAAGTTCCTGTTTCACAGTCCCTGCAGTGCTAAGAGGGGATGAACAATAAAGAATTTCTTACTGTTCAGCTTCAGTTTCTGGGGTGCATTGGGATAAGATGCTCATTGAAGCACCAGAACTTGAACATGCCCTTCAGATGGTTCTCCATCCACCTGCTATGTCGTCTTGGAAAGGAAGAGATGTGGTGCCTTAAGCGGATGCAGTCACTTCACGGCATGCCATTCACTTCTCTTATCCACCTTATTCTGCAGTTGAGTGTTTAATACCTGTCCTTTGCCATTATTACTTTCCCTCCTTGATAACCCACCATCATACTGGTCTCCTGGGGGTAAATATAGTCTTCCTTCCCCTTATCACTACTTTTCATTGCCCTTTGGTGGCTGAGCCAAACTATTGTATTCTGAAGAACATTATCAGGACACCACAATCTCATTCTTCATGCTGCCTTCTGCTCTCATCCTCTCTGATCGTGTCCAAGTCAGGGTGATTTGAAATCTTTTGGTGGCCTGGTGGGGAGGTTTTTGATAGTTATAATAACAGGTAACTGGTCATAGACTTGCGAATTAAGAGTTTGAAAGCACGTCAGGAACAGACTGTCTACTAAAGCGTTAATATTCATGAGTGAGAAATTAATGTCCTTTTCTGCTATTTGAACTATTATTAATTCTTATTATGATTTTGAGAGCCATTATACACATTGATAGGCTAATGAACAGTCATTTATAGAGGGATTTTAAGACAGTTTGTTCCTAGGAAGAAAATGCTAACACTCTAAGTCAGGCTCCGCACTATTTCAAAACCCTAATTCTTGTTGCTTGCTTTACTGCACATCAGGGTGATTTCTACCTAATCCAGCTGTCTCAAGTAATCTATGATTCCAAATCAATCTTCTCTTTATTTGGCCTTCACTGCCATAGTATCTACAAATCCGTATTCTTACCAACTCTACCTAAAAAAAAAGTCTATAAACAACAATTAGGTTTTTTCAGTGTTTTTGGAGCTCTTCTGTATGTTAATCATCCTGAGTCAAAGTAAAAAAAATTCTTTTTTTCAATATTATTTCCTTTGCAGCTGATTCTTTAGGTACTTTGTGCTAATTACTCTGCCTGGTCAGTACTGAGCTGCTAGAAAATTTCCCTCCTTCTTCAGGTTATTGTGAAAAAGAGGCTCTTGTATCTCTGTCTTTTCTGTCTGTTCTTCAAAAATGAGAATTATTAGCACGCAGCGCATGGGTGTGCAATAAGGAGCACTTAATAATGCCAGAAATAAACCCACTTGATGATGGCTAGGAAAAAGGTAATTAAGACACATTCCCACATTACCATGCTGATTATATCCTTGGTCCAGCACTGAGCACCCGTTAGCCAGAGCCATACATTTAGTAAACAAGGTGAAGTGACCTAAAGACCTATCTGTAGTACGTAGTAACAAGTTACCAATAATATTTATTGGGGATTTAATAATTTGGCCAGAAGTTTCAGGAGGAATGAGTACCCAAAAGGTGCCATGGACTCCTTATGCTATTTTAAAGATTATGTGAAAAAAATCCATAGCAAGCTTATTATTACATTTCTGGATGATGCCATTTTAATTAACAGCTCTATTATGTACATGGAACAAAATTTTACAGTACTGTGTATTAGGCAAAGTGCTTGCTCTCCACCTTCAATTTCCCCTATAAATAACTTTAGATATGGCTATAACATTAGAACAATTTAGATATGAGCAGAATATTAGAAGAAAATTCAGAACGTTATAGAACCTCAGAATTCTGCTTGCCAGGCTGAAGCTGGATAACTACTGTCCATATAGCTTACATGGGAGAATTTATAAATGATAAGTGGAAGGACACAAGACCTCTGACTTAATACTAATTTTGTTTCTTAGGATTTGGAAAGCAGTTTTTTTTCAAGGACTTTACTGGCAAGTCATTCTGTGGTATTTTGGATGAAATATGCACTTCTAAAGTGTGCCCAAATGCTGCTATGAAGTCAGGTTCAGCCACACTTAAATTACTTATCACCGCAAATAGTTCTATTGATTTTCTGGAAGATCAACAGATGTGGTTCAACAGATTGTCTGCAAGTAAAATTGTGCTTCGTGTGAGTAAGGTGGTAGAAGTGCCAATAACTGAAACACTTAATCACCTTATTTACAGAATTCAACCCGCATGGCCATGCAAAATTGTGCCAGAACTTCAGCCACTGAAACAAAAAATATCTACTCCCAAAATCTGTTAAGAAATATTAGCAGGTAAATGTGTTAGTTGATTACAAATCTTTATTTTTAACTAATTTAGTTTTCTTGAAAGGTCTCAGGCAGAAGACACGGAAAAAAATGTAATTGTCTTCTACAGTCTTCTGTGCAGTGATGGCTGATTTCCACAGCATAGGAAATATTCAAATAGCAACTAGTCCTTCCAGATCTTTTCAACTGGAGAAAGCTGTATAGATTGTGCATCTGTATAGACAGTGCATCTGTCCAACTGCAGTTACAAAAAAACCCTGCTGATATTCCACAAAGGAAAATTCCACCCAGTTCCTAAAGCTGCAACATCTGTCTCTGGTTTGGAAGGCTTGAGTTCAGGTCTTTGATTTTTCTCTGTAACAGGTTGGAAAGATTACTACATTGGAAAGAGTTTTTTCAATGAGGTTTAGTGATTATACCTTCATTTCAGTTCCTTATCTCTAATATGAATTTAATAGGTGTCACGTAAGTACTGCAGATAAATAGGTGATTTATTGATTAAAACACACACACAGAGACAGATGTATATATATGTATCTACTCTAAATAGAAATCTTTATGCCAGAATTATGATTCTTCTGCAGAAAGTTTTCTGAATGAAGGTATCTGTTACTGCTGTGGGTTTTCCACTTAAGGCAGATGAACACAGGGATGAGATTAGTAAAACTGTAGTATTGCAAAATCTGACTTTCAGGCTTTTGAGTGGAATCCACAACCTAGTATGAGATATCTCAGGCTTCAGTATGAGGAACAGAAAACACGGGACCCACATGAGCTACCAAGTCCCTGGAGAAGGGACAGCTTTTGTAGAGCACCAGATCTAGTTAGCATACATGGCTTCAGTCCTGGCAATCCCCCACTGGATCAGGCTTCCCCAGACACTTGACAAAGTAATCCCCCATCTCTGGAGCTCAAGCTTTTCACCCTGGCAAAAAAGGGAAGCGTTTCTCTGCAAAGGAAGAAGTAGAGCCATAGGCACCTAAAGTTCTTTGAAGGCCACAATTGCAGCATCTAATTAGCTTATGCACCTTCAGGGATGGATGGCAGCTGAATAACTTTTCTTCAGAATTATAATGGTGAATTTAAGTGCCTAGACACTACCTAAGGTCCACATTAGATACTCATCTATTTTTTGATTTTTCAAGATCTGGATTTCTTTTTTTTTTTTTTTTTTTTTTTGATTGCTCTGATAGACCATTAACACTTTTTTTCAACTGATTTCACACATATCCTTTCGATATATCAAGTAGGGTCTCCTGGTGCATGCTAAGCAGAATTCATAATGTCTTTCCTATCAATCCTATAATGTTATGTGTTTCCCTACTATACAGAAACTGAAGATGGTTTTATTTAGCATCTTACACATGATAGAGTTTTATAACTATTTTGGTTATTGAAAGATGTTAGATAAAAAATTATTACAGTTCTGCTGGTATAAGATACTGGTCTTTACTGGTCTTCTCTGACAAAATCTACAATGATAAGACAGTGAAACAACAAACTTTTCTTTCATGAGAATGTTAGATTTTTTTTAAACCCACAAAAA